GAATATCTCATTTCACGGTCCCAATTAAAGAGAGAGGCATGACTCAAAGGTCAGGAATTGATTAAAGGAGATAGATGAGAGTGAGAAAAGAATTATTTTGAAAGGAATAGGGGAAGAGATATGGTGCATGGGGAGGAGACACTGTGATTGAAGGCAGAGATGTAGGATCACCAGCATCTCAACTGCTCTGTATCTCTTTTTCCTTCAAGGTCATAAAGAGGGAAAACAAGAAAGAGGCACTCAATCCTGATTCATATATGAAAACTTCGTCAAAGTCCTTCTTCTAAAATCTGGATGCCGTTGATAATAATGCTTATGGAGATAAGATCTAAGTGCCTACAAAATGTATATCTACCTGGTTGAAATACAACACTAGATATGCCGCTGTTATACATACCAGCTATTAATTTTTAGAGATGGGGTATTGGGAGTGCTTTTTTAATTCTTTAGGGTTTTGTATATAAGGCCATATTTTGCATCTACAACTTTTATAATTTGAACAAAACAAATAAACGTTACCTTTCTTTGTGAAAGGAATTCTTCCCCGGCAGTCTCTTTAATCCATCCATGAGTTGCTGAAAAGCAAATAGTTTGTGGTCTACAAATCTGGGTGCAGCACCCGGGCCTCTAGCTATATTTGGATTTGTACTTTGGGTGTGATCTTTACAGGATAGGCCCTAGTCAAGAATGAACAGGCTATGTTCTGCTGAGAGGAATCAGGCTGAAGGGGTAGGTAAGGGTGAAATCCAGCCTGGGGTTCGGTTGCTAAGCACTGTTATTGTTTCAGCCCAAAGCAGTAGATATCTTTTCAGAATTGGTTTCCTTGAAGGGGCATAATTGGGTAATTTTTCTGCCAAATGAGGCGCCTTCTGCTGATGTGCATGAAGGCACTTGTCTGTGTTAGAGATGTATCTGGGCCTGCCTGATGTGAAATATCTGGTTTTATTTGCTTCCTCAAACACCAACTGCTCTTCAGGCATGTTGGAACCATATTTCCTGTTTTCACAATGCACTATAGTGATCGGATCCATTAGAAAGCTGCCCCAGGCAGAACTGCATTAGGCAAACAGTGAAGATAATTGATTTTCTTTAGAATAGACTAGCTGAAAGTAGGCATCTCAAACTAGAATTTAGCCAAGTTTCTTGATTATATATTTGGTACCTGATACTTTGCGATTATTTTGTGGCACTTTATCTTCATATTAGCTCTAGAAGTTTGATCATTTTTTCCCTTTTACTCACCCTATAATATGTGACAAAGAATAGAAAGGCAAAGTCACTTTCGTAATGACACTTAGTAAATTAGAGAGATTGATTTAGAACCCAGGCTGCTGTTCCCGTTTGGGGTGTGCGTGTTGGGTGACGTGTGGGGGATGTGGTGGAAGCTGTGAGGGATGGAATGGGGACGTCTACTACTGTCCTAGGGCTTTTCTTTAGTTCAGCTAAACATGGGCGTCCTTAGCACACGGCTATGAAAAATTAGGCTCGCAGACAATCTGAAGAGTGAGAAGGGCAGAGTTTACTGGGTGAAAAGGGAAAAAAGGAAACTCTGCAAAGCCAGCCCTGCTGGTGCGCTTGGCTTCCTGCCTTGCAGTTTTAATTTCAGGTTCCACCCAGGAAGCGGAAGGGCCAGGCTCTTCCCCACTGCAAATGACGCAAACTTCTGTGGCTCCAACCCAGTGCACAGTCCTCCCGGTGTGCAGGCTGGAGTTTCTATGGGGACCCCTTCCCACCTGGCGGTGTCATTGCCCCCTCTAAGAAGTGTGCATCTAACTGCCATTAGAATAAGGACAAGGATAAGGACGAAGACCGATCTTAACTGCTTTCTGCTGACAGGGGGCGCCGTTTTGGGGAAAACAGCAAAGTCTCTCAGAGGCCTATTTAAGGGCTCCCGGCGGAGGGGGCCATTGTCTTCCTCTCCAGTTGCATGACTGTTTGGAGTCTGATGGCCTGAAGATGAGAAGAGACCAATCGTGTTATTAGAAAACATGTATCAAAACGAAACAAGGGGAGGGGTAAGAACAGTTCAAAAATCCCAAGGCCTTTGATCAGTTTGTACAAAGAGAGGGAGGCCAAAAGCCTGACTGGTAAAAAACAAAAACAAAAAACTTTATCCTATGCCAGCATGTGGGGCTTCTGGGTTCCCTTCCCCTGAACCCAATCCTAAACTGACCAGTTTAAAGTTTGGGAAATTGACTCTTTCCAGTTTGGAGGATGCATCTGAAGGGCGTGTCCCCATAGTATGGAGATGCAAGGAGAGAACTGAGAGGGAGAAAGGAAAAATGAAAGGTGTTTTATCAAAGGAGCCCCATGGGTTCCGGATGCATTTGAAAAGGGGTACAGACTGAAAATGAGTGGCTACTCACCTAGAAGGAGGCGGGCAGGATCCCTGGTTCTCTCTCTTCCTAGGAGATACCTGGGCTATGTGAGGGAGAGAAGGAAGAGCGTCCTCTTTCCCTCTTCCATCCTCACATCCCTGAGTCCCTGTGTAGGATTTTGAGTCTGGCTTCTTTCACTGAGTGTACAATAAAGACCTATCCATGTAGATGTGTGTATCAGTAATGTATTTCTTTTTATTGCTAAGTACAATTTGATTATGTGGATCTACCAACGTTTGTTTATTCATTTTTCAGGTGAGAGATAATTGAGTTTTTTATAGTTTTGCAAAATTACAAATAAGCTTTCATGAATATTAACATGCAGATTTTTGTGTGAACATACATAATTATTTCAAGTGGGTAAAAGTACTTAGAGCAAGTTTGTTGTATCATGTAGTAAGCATATGTTTAAATTTATGCGAAATGGCCAAACTCTTTTCTACAGTGACTTTAAGACTTCATGCCCACCAGCAATAAGTAAGAGTTTTACTTGTTCTGTATCCTCCTCAGGCCGTAGCATGGTAGATATATTTTAAGTTTTTAAAAATGGACAAACTCTTTTGCATAAAAGTTATATCATTTGACATTCCCACCAGCAATGCATGACAGTTTCACTTTTTCCAAATCTTTGTCAGCACTTGGTTTGGCCAATGTGTCTTAATTTTAGCTGTTCTAATAAATGTATAGTGGTACCTCACTGTAGTTTTAGTTTGCATTTCCTTAAAGATGAATTATGTTGAGTATTTTTATGTGCTTATTTGACATCCATGTATCATCTTTTTGTCAATTTTAAACATTTCATTGGTTGTTCTCTAATTATTGGATTTTGAGTGCTCTTTATAAATTCTGGATACAGGGTCTTTTTTTTTTTTTTTTTTGACAGAGGCTTACTCTGTCACCCAGGCTGGAGTGCAATAGTGCCATCTCAGCTCTGCAACCTCTGCCTCCCGGGTTCAAGTGATTCTCCTGCCTCAGCCTCCCGAGTCGCTGGGATTACAGGCACCTGTCACCACACCAAACTAATTTTTGTACTTTTAGTAGAGATGAAGTTTCACCATGTTGGCCAGGGTGGTCTTGAACTCCTGACCTCAGGTGACCCACCCACCTCGGCCTCCCAAATCCCTCCCTGCTGGCCTCCCAGTCCTTCCCTGCTGGGATTACAGGTGTAAACCACTGTGCCCGGCCTGGATGCAGTTTCTTCCTCAGCTCCGTGACTAGTAAATATTAAGCCCCAGTCTGTGGTTTGCCTTTCAGTGCTCTTAATGGTACCTTTTGAAAAACGGAAGTTCTTCATTTTGATGAAGTTCAAATTAGCAAGCATTTATGTTGTGTAGATTGTGCTTTTGGCATGGTATCTAAAAAATATTTGCTTAGACCAAGGTCACACACATTTTCTCCCGTGTTTTCCACTAGGAGTTTTGTGGTTTTAATTGTTTATGAAAGCCGATGATTCATTTGGAGTTTATGTTTGTATAAAGAGTGAGGAATGGCTCAGATTCGTTTTTTAAGCATAAATATATAATTGTTCTTTAAATCTTTTCTCCATTCAACTGTGTTTGTACTTTTGTGGGAAATAAACAGACTGTAAATGTGCAAGCCTGGTTTTGGCTCTCTAGTTTTTCATTGGGCTTTATGCTTATTCTTTCTCCAATAACACAAAATTGTCTTATATACATTTTAAAATACTTCCAAATCGCTTCCCTATGGAACAAAAATATACACCTTTAGTTATGTAGTATCTACTTTTAAATAATACTGTGCCGCCTCACATGTTGTACAAGGATCTTCCAACAGTATACTCCTAATTCTTCCCTCTCGTATTTTGTACAATTGTTGTCATATAATTTCCTTTTAATTTGTATTAACATATAATACATTGATTAAGTATTTTTGCTTGAAACAAGGGATTGACAACCTAAAGACAGTGAGACTGTAATGAATGAGAAGCAGACATTTATTGTAATCATGTGTTGATATTTTGAATTTGTTTATCCAGCAATTATCCTGTCCCAGCTTGGTGGAGAGAGGAACCTGTGAGCTGCTGCACTCGGGTAACTTGCAGTCTGATTGAACAGGCTGTATCACATATTCTTCCCGGATGGTCTGAATTGGTCCTTTTCCTTTCTCTACTTTTTTTTTTTTTGGTTCTTAATAACCTGATGGAGAAAAAAACATGCAGTCTGAGATGCAGTCGACCAGTTACCCCTCCTCTGTTTGTAGTCACTATGGCCTTCTGAAGTGTACACTATCTTCTCATGAAATTATTTTGTACCCACCCTTCTAATACATTGATCCGTCTTGGGTCATATTCCTGAAGTGAATATCTGACCTGAGAAATACACTCTCAGCCTCCACTCTTACAGGGAGAGACAGTAGGCAGTGCACCTGACACTGAGACCTGGGGAAGAGCACCAAGTAGTGGCAGGGTGACTATGGTAGGTGCAGGCGTGGTGGGACTGGCTAGGGAAATGCATCCACAAAGTATTTATGGTCTGTCTACTTTAAAAGACATTTGAAAAAGTCCGAATGACTTTTCCAACTCTGGGCAAGCTTTCTGCTTTAAGCTTTGAGTGTTACTGAGGAGCTCTTTGTTGGGCTCTGTGTGCACAACAGTATGTGTCTGTGTCTCGAAAAGCCCATGTTCTCTTAACTGTGTATCTAGAATACGTGTTTCATAAGAGGGAGGTTCCTCAGTTCTGTGAGATGCTCGTGTACTAAATATCAATGTCTTCTATTCCAGTGGCTCCAGTCCAGCTTTCTGATAGAAAACATAAAATATCATCCCCTTGGAGAGTTGACTTTGCTCCAGGCAGTTCCCACCTTTATGGTGCTGTGGACTCCAGATGTCAGCTGTAGTTTTTCTCCATTTTTTGACAGTGTGAAGAACGTAAGTCGAAGCTTATCTCCTTCCTCACATTTTATTGTGTCCTGGTTTCCAGCCACCAGTACATCCATATTCCCAGTGTTGTCACTTAGGTTTAATACACCTTTCTTCTTTCCTGTCACCTGCAAAAGAAAAACAACGCTCAACCTCTGATCATCTGATTAAAGAATGCCACAGGCTGGTCCAAAGGTAGTGAGTTAGCTCAACTGATGGTTCACAGTCAGTTACAGATCGAACTCCTTGTTCTACTCTTTCCCCCTCTTCTCACTACTGCACTTGACTAGTCTTAAAAAAAAAAAGAATGACCCATCAGTCACACATCAGACATGCCAGAAGAAGGATCTAGAAAGAAATACAGTTGATCCTTGAACAACACAGGTTTTAGCTGTGTAGATCCATTTATATGGAAATTTTCTCTATCTCTGCCACCCCAAGACAGCAAGACCAACCCCTCCTGTTCCTCCTTCCTCCTTAACCTACTTAACATAAAGTCAATGAGGACGAAGACCTTTATGATGTTCTTCTTCATGAATAGTCAATATATTTTCTCTTTTTTATACTTTTCTTAATCACATTTTTTTCTCTAGCTTACTTGTTAAGAATATAGTACATACTGGCCGGGCACAGTGGCTCACGCCTATAATCCCAGCACTTTGGGAGGCTGAGGCGGGTGGATCACGAGGTCAAGAGATCGAGACCATCCTGGTCAACAAGGTGAAACCCCGTCTCTACTAAAAATACAAAAATTAGCTGGGCATGGTGGCGCACGCCTGCAGTCCCAGCTACTCAGGAGGCTGAGGCAGGAGAATTGCCTGAACCCAGGAGGCGGAGGTTGCGGTGAGCCGAGATCGTGCCATTGCACTCCAGTCTGGGTAACAACAGTGAAATTCCATCTCAAAAAAAAAAGAAAAAAGAATATAGTACATACTATATGTAACATAAAAATATGTGTTGACTGTTTATGTTATCTATAAGGCTTCTGGTCAAGAATAGGCTATCAGTACTTAAGTTTTTGGGGAGTCAAAAACTATATGCAGATTTTCAGCTGCTAGGGGTCAGCAGCCCTAATCCCTACATTGTTCAAGGGTCAACTTGAAGAAAAAGATTCTGCTTTGAAACTGGCAGGTATGTATCTAATAGATGTTAGCAAGTTCACAGAGAGGAGGCAGATATGTCTTACTTAGAACACGTCTCCTATGTCCATCCTTCCGGTCCCAAACTCCCTTCCTTTAGGAAGAGCCTGGGATGGCGCATAGAAGCAACAATTGCTGGATAGAGAAGATGGAGATTCTCCAGGGCTAGTAGCCAGGTTAATTAGGGAAAAAAAGGAAGGCCCTAAAGTTGGAAGAAAGCTGTTTATTTATTTTTTCCTTATTTTTTGAAATGGAATTTTGTTCTTTCACCCAGGCCGGAGTGCAGTGGTGCGATCTTGGCTCACTGCAACCTTCATCCCCCGGGTTCAAGCAATTCTTCTGCCTCAGTCTCCCAAGTAGCTGCCACTGTGCCTGGCTAATTTTTCTATTTTCACTAGAGACAGAGTTTTGCTATGTTGTCCAGGTCGATCTCGAGCTCCTAACCTCAGATGATCCACCTGCCTCAGCCTCCCAAAGTGCCAGGATTACAGGGATGAGCCGCCCTGAAGAGGGCTATTGAAAACAGCAAGTCCAGGAGAGACATGAGGTAATGATGCAAGACCCGGTCGGCAGGCTAGTAAGTAATCAAAGACAAACAATTCACAATCAAATCTAAGAGCAAAAGGGACCTTAGTTATTTAGGAGATTGATAGTATTTTAGGTTTCATTTTGTGGACGAAATCAATATACATTAGTGGATAGCTGGCCAGATTGAAAGCTGAAAGCTGGGATAAAGAACATGACCTTCCTATCCAAGGTCATTTTACACCTGTATTTTCCAAGAGGACTGGAGAGTCTTCCTATAAATTCCTTCTGAAACTAACCCAGGGCAGCAGAGGTTGTTCTGAGGCTCTGGACACAGGGTCGGCAGGTTCCCTCTCTATGGTTCTTTAGGTCCTGTCCTAGATCAGAAAAAGTCATCCCACAAGGCTATTTCCCTGAGGCTCAGAGTCATAATACTTTAAATTTCTCACTTATAATAAGTCTCCTCAAGCTAACTCTTTTTTTTTTTTTTTTTTTTTTGAGACAGAGTTTTACTCTTGTTACCCAGGCTGGAGTGCAATAGCACGATCTCAGCTCACCACAATCTCCGCCTCCTGGGTTCAGGCAATTCTCCTGCCTCAGCCTTCTGAGTAGCTGGGATTACAGGCGCGCAGCACCATGCCCAGCTAATTTTTTGTATTTTTAGTAGAGAAGGAGTTTCACCATGTTGACCAGGATGGTCTCGATCTCTCGACCTCATGATCCACCCGCCTCGGCCTCCCAAAGTGCTGGGATTATAGGCGTGAGCCACCGCGACTGGCCCATAGCTAACTCTTTCTTCTGTTTTCTTCATTTAATCACAGTTCTTTAATCCTGCCTTACATACTGGTTTTTCAGGTCGATTGATCTGGTTTACAACTACACTTATATCACATTCAAAAACAGTCACTTAAAGATGATATGTACAAAGTATAAAAATAACACAGATTGGGAGGCTGAGGCGGGTGGATCACCTGAGGTCAGGAGTTCAAGACCAGCCTGAACAACATGGTGAAACCCCGTCTCTTTTAAATAAATAAATAACACAGAGATAAAAATTATGTGAATGAACTAGTTCTTTTTTTCAGAGGCTACTGGGATAAGAATAAGTTGAAACAGGATTGTGACAGATTTTTGACAATAAAAACAATTTTTGCGTTTTTGTATGAATTTTGGCATGTTAACTCTGCAGCTCTTTAGAACTTTGTATTTTTTTGTCTATATAGAAAGATATTAAAACCATTTCTAAAGTCGCTTTAAGATCAGATGAAAAATATTATTACTAATCAATATGAAATTAGATATGAAGACGTACCTTCCGGACTACAAACAACCCATTCACAATTGTTCCAAGGGGCTGAGTTTGAAGTGTGCTGATCTTCGGGGTTTCCCCAGCTTTTCTGATAATGTTCGGAGGGACATTAACCTTTTGGTCAGATTCAGCATCTAACACACGTGAGGCACTAGTTACTTCTAAGAAACCGCTGTGCCGATAATACCTTGATATGATAATTATTGTCTTTGGAATGAATTTATCTCTTAGCAGTGTATTAAAAACTTTTACAAAGAAGAATTCCTTCTCGGTAGCCACTGTAGCATGAAACATCTCTTGCTTGCCTTCTTGGGTCTCAAACATGAAGGGCTTCATTGCTTTCAGTACCATAACCGGCAAAGGGTCTTTCTGAAACCCTTCTCTGATAGAGGGCTGCTGGGCCACCATCTGTTTCTGCTCAGGCTGAAGACAAGAGAAGAAAGATATCAGCTGTGAGTCTAAAAGATATCAGCTGTGAGTCTATTGAGAGGACCTTACTTCACTCACAGTGCTAAACCTCAGGAAGCCAGCTGAAGATAGGTAGAATCAAGGGGAGCGTTATAGAGGGGGTCGGGAAGAGATCTGAGGCCTAGAACGACCTGGATACAACAGAGAATGCGGACGGAAGATTTCAGCTCCTGTGTTCGGCTAAGACGGCGTAACAGGTTTTGGAGGTAGGATTTCCTGAAACAAAATTCTTGCTTTGCCAATTGCTATGTATAAAGAGCTCATCAGATCTCTGAAATATTGCTGAGGCATGGGGTAAATCTGATAAATTGGATTCCATCTTCCATCGATTCCATTAGGGCATAATGCGTCCTTGTTTCTCTGTCCAAAACGTTCATTTTACTCTAGTATAAAAGTGAGGGAGCTCAGTGACCTGCACAGGGCTCCCCAAATTCCCAGGAAGGCGCTGTACGTAACAAAATGCAGATTATATTTAATATAAGTTAAGGGGGAGACCTAGGCCAGAGATCTTATCAGTGAGTTAAAGGAGATTTAAAAGGAGAATCAATACTACATGTATGGATTTGCCCTTAGAAATAATGAATTATAAACTAAGGTTCACATTTAAAAAATACATCTTATTATTTGAAATCATAAAAAAAAGAAATAATTTAAGTACCTAAAAACTAGATTTGGTTAAATAAGATACGGTATAGTCACAAATAGATTGCTATGCAAATATTAAAAATGCTTTAGAGAAATAATATGATAAACTTATAACTGATTCAATAAAGGGAAAGGTCCTGAAAAGAGAAAGGATAAGTAAGCAGTTAAAGCACATAAACAAACACACCGGAGAGACATTTACCAACATCAATACAGTTTTTTCCTAGATGATACAATTATAGGTAATTTTATTTTCTTTGTGTTTCTTTATTTGTCTGAATTAACAGAGGTAAAATACCTTGTTTGGGGGGAAAATACTACTCTTTAAAAGTAACTTGCCATCTAGAACCAGAGAGAAATACAGGGGAAAACAAACAGAGGCATAAAAAGCCAAGTGTAGGGGTTTCTGAAGGGTGTCTCTGATGTGACCTGAAGCTTGGGCCAATGGAGTTTGGGGGAGTAAGGGTCCCTAATGGGCAGTACGACTGACTGCATTTGGACCAAGGCAGGGAAAGGTCAGCTTCACTGAGGTCCACTGCAAAAGCCCTTCTGTTTGGTTCATGTCTCTTTAGTTGGGTCTTCCAGACTAAACAATGCATATTTTCATGACTGATGATGGAATCACACATTTATACTTGTTTTCCTGAAAAATCAAGATGTTTCTGGGCCAAACGCAGAGGAAATGGCTACTCTAGACAAAGAGATGAAGTATATCGTTTCTGTAGCTCATACAGCTATAAAATGAAGTAACACCTGCTTCATAGGAAATGAAATTGCATGTGTGGTCGGTTCTGTGCTGGGACTCGGATGTTGCCTGCTGTTCCCTCATTCTCACTAAGAACAAGAGTCTCTAGGCAAACTCTCTCACCTAAATGGGGCTGCCTCACCTTGTCCATGCAGCTATATAGAGGACTTTTTTACATTACTTTTAAAAAGCAATTTGTTGTCAAAAACCAAGGGGAAATACAGGGGAAACAGAGGCATGGCAGGCAGAGTGTAAGAGTCTCTGAATTGAATCTCTGATGTGACTGGGGACCTGGGCCTGTGCAAACCACAGACTCCCCCAGATCATGGGAGCCATGAAAGGCATTCTCAGCTCCCGAGCTCCGTGTCAGATAGGCCAAGGCCTCTACTGCAAATACATTGTTCTTGACCTTCTTCTTCTTCTACTCCTTTCGCTTCCTCACAGATACTAATTCTGAAAGTGATCTAGAATAGACTTCCTGTAAACAACTGTCTGTCTCAGAGTTTTCTTCTTGTAGAATTCAAACCATAACCAAGTGTTAATGTGTCCAGGGCCTGGAAGGGATTAGAAGCTCAACAGGTGTTTAATCTGATAAATCAGAGGTAGTTCCTCTTTTTGTGACTCAGATCACTTTTCATACTGTGGCCTTGCTTCCCTTATTTGCATGCTGTGAGATAAAGAACAGAGAACCGTGTGAGAAGTGACAGTGACAGTGACTAGAGGACGCTCTTACAAGGACAAAGGCCACTCCACTCGCCTCCTCCTACCTTAATATGAGGAGAGACTTTTGGTGCAGCACGTTGCTTTGTGACATCTTTTCTGATGGCTGCAGACGCAGCAGGACTCATTTCAGCTTGACTTAGTGGCTTTGGTTTTGTTACGGGTTTGTATTTCTGATCAACTGATTAAAAAACGAAAGACGTGGCCAATAAGCATATAAACATATGAGCGTGCACATTTTCAAATGTCACCAGAAATAAATATTAAAACCATATTAAGATATCTTCAAGAACAGCTAACTTTTCTAAAAAAAATAATAAATCTTATTTTAAAAATAAAGAAACAACATGACATAGACACCTGTAATCTCAGCACTTTGGGAGGCCAAGGCTGGAGGATAGCTTGAGGCCGCCAGGAGTTTGAGACCAGCTTGGTCAACATAGGGAGACCCCATATTTACAGAAAATGTTTTCAAAATTAGCCAGGTGCAATGGCACATGTCTTCAGTCGCAGCTACTTGGGAGGCTGAGGCAGGAGGATAACTTGAGCCCAGGAGTTCAAGGCTGCAGTGAGCCGTGATCACACCACTGCACTCCAGCTTGGATGACATGGTGAGACCCTGTCTGTCTCAAAAACAAAAACAAAAATAAAAGAAACTAGGAAGTAGTAGGCTTAAATTGTATAACACATTGGAAAATGGTTTGGGACACTATTTGTTAAAATTCAATATCTACTTACCTTAACATCCAGCAATTCCACGCAGAGGTGTACAGTCAAAAGAAACACACACACACACACATACAAAGATAAGTACATAACGCTTATAATGTGCATAAATATTCATAGCAGCATTATTCACAATGGCCTCAAATGACTAAAATAACAATCAAAAACAGACCAATTCTCTCTCTACATATGTATATGAGTTTATGTGTATATGTGATTATAAGTTAAATGAAATCTCACATCGTAGCGAAAATGAATCAACTGCTGCTATGAAACAAAGGCAGATTTCTGATTATGTTCTACAAGGCTTTGCACTGTCTGTCAAGGGGACCGCATCCTGCCCTCTGAAGATTGATTCTCTGTACTCCAGCCATACTGGCCTTCTCTCAGTCCTCAGGCAGGTCAACACTTGCTCATGGGGATTTTCACACAGTGTTCCCTCTGACTGAAGGTACCTTTAACTGCTATGGATTTTTCAGAGCTTAGCTCAAGGGTCACTTCCCTGTGGAACCTGCATTTGGCCAACACCAGCTCTAACTCCTGGCTCATGTTAATGCTCCTTCGACACAGCTGCTAAAGAACCTCCTTCCTTTCCATCAGAGCTTTTGTTCTCCGTTCACCACATGGATTCATTTGCCTTGTAAGAAAATGTCTACCTTCCCTTTAGAGTATAAGCTGTACAAAATCTGGATTTGTTTTTAACTCCTTGTTTTCTCATAAGGACCTAAAAGGATTCCTTGCATCTATTAGCAATTCAATAGATGTTTACTGAATGGATGAAGAAATGGATGGATGGGTGGCATGTTGGCTCCTCACTAATGCCTACAAAATGCAGTTGTATAATCTGGCTGGGCTCCTCCAGGTCTATGGTCAGGTTATATGTTATTTTGAAAAGCCAATTCCTAGTCGTGATTTTTAGAAAGACCATGTAATAAGATGGCCATGTTTGGTGACTTAAGGCACTCTCAGGCAGAAGAGGGACTGAAAAATTCTCAGCTGTCATTTCTGATAGAATTTGAGCAATTCTGGGCTGAAATAACAAGGCCATCACTTGGATTGTAGTAAAAAGAGAAACTGATTATTAGAACTAAGAGTAGAATGAACTGTCTTAAGAGGTAGTAGGTACTCTGTCATTACCTTTCAAAGAGGCACAAAGTGGTTGACTGACTGGGATTTTGTAGCAGGATCTCTGCTCTAGAAAGAAGTTAAACTAATCTTCCAATGGTAGGTTAGTTCCATGAAACTGGTTTCAGAAAGGTATGCAGATAAAGTCTGCCTTCTATGATGACAGCATACTAGAGAAAACAGTCACGGGAGGTCAAGGGAATCCACCTATCATTCTGCCACATCACATCAGCCATATTTCATCTCACACAGTGGTACCAAAGCAATATTTATGAATAAGCTTGTCTGCCCACTATGAATCTCTCATTTGCCTTAATAATCAGGGTGCACATTGTTGTTTATTATTTCATTTATCCTTTTGAGCATTTTATTTTAATCTTACAGGACTTTTGTAGACTTTGATCACGTTTTCTCTTAGCTTCTTTTCTCTAGGCTTCCATGTCCTTACATTATCTCATTTTGCTTCCTACAAAAGCTTCTCTTGTCTACTGATTATTGCCTCTGTCTTCATTAAAGATTCTCCAGGTATCGTCTATCTTCTGTGAGGTGAGGTTGTGAGTAGAACAGCATATAGCACTCTACATGCAGACATGCAATGGCTATGGAGAGGGATCACTTAACCAAAAATAAAAGATTAACTGTTCAAAAAACAAAACAAAAATTGTTTTCCTATAATAATAGAAGTAGCCTAGACACACAAAAATTTCCTACATTCAAAGGAGGCCTAAGAATGTCTGTGGTTGGAATTTTAGCTTTGATGGAACTTAATTGCCTTCTTGTAAAGCATACAAGAAGCATACTTTGTGTCTTGTGGTTGTTTGAGACAGGGTCTCACTGTTGTTGCCCAGGTGAGAGTGCAGAGGCGTGATCTCAGCTCACTGCAACCTCTGCCTCCCAGGTTCAAGTGATTCTCCTGCCTCAGCCTCCCGAGTAGCTGGGATTACAGGCGCCTGCCACCACTCCTGGCTAAGTTTTGTATTTTTATTAGAGATGAGGTTTCACCATGTTGGCCAGGTTGGTCTTCAACTCCTGACCTCAAGTGATCTGCCCACCTCGGCCTCCCAAACTGCTGGGATTACAGGTGTGAGCCACTTGCACCCATCCAAAAAGCACACGTTGAATCCTGCAACTGTTACATGTGGAGACTCTCATTTGGGAGAGTCCCTGGATTCTAGTCCCAAACTATCTTTTCTATCGAATCAGAATAACAAAATCCCAGGATCATTAGAACAGCAAAATGGGGAGAAGATTTTAGAAGGTGAAACTTTGTGCTATCCTTTGTGTCAAAGAGAAGAATTAATTCTTGATTTAATGACAAAATAAAAGATATTTCTAAAATTCTCCGCCTATGTTTGCCAATAAATATGCTTAGATTCCTGTCTCATCCCAGACAAGAAAAAGAGCAGTTGGTTACTTCAAAACAACGTGTAGTTACTGCCATCTAGGGGCCATGTCTAAGAACTACACCTTCTAACTTCACATAGCCTGGGAAAATACAATGTATAACAAGCAGTCCTTTCTCTTCAGTGCCTTAGATACTAGCAAACAGTTTATATCTGTATAGAATTATGAGCGTACATAGTATCACTTTCATGGCTTCATTTAGCCTTCCTATAAGTCATGTTTGAGAAGTGATGTCATCCGTGTTATACACTCACAAATGCTGTTAAAAGCTGTTGTAATTTTTGCTGTTATAGTTGTACTTTTTTTTTTTTGAGACTGAGTTTCGCTCTTGTTACCCAGGCTGGAGTGCAATGGTGCGATCTCGGCTCACCACAACCTCCACCTCCTGGGTTCAGGCAATTCTCCTGCCTCAGCCTCCCGAGTAGCTGGGACTACAGGCACCTACCACCATGCCCAGCTAATTTTTGTATTTTTAGTAGAGACGGGGTTTCACCATGTTGGCCAGGATGGTCTCCACCTCTTGACCTCGTGATCCACCCGCCTTGGCCTCCCAAAGTACTGGGATTATAGGCGTGAGCCACTGCTCCCGGCCTACAGCTGTACTTTGAATCCTAAAACTGTGGCATTTGGAGACTCTCATTTGGGAGAGTCCTTGGATGATATGCTCCTTTGTTACCTCTCTTTTATTCTTCAGACATAAAGCCGGGACATATCAATTTTCTTAGCAAACAAAATCAGAAATTTAAACGAGATTTAAACTAAATGTAGATGGAGATGATGAGTGATTTATTGAATAATGTAAAAAACCTTTGTGTTGTGGGTAATTTATAGTGCCACCTGTACTGGAGATAGGAGAGAGAATCCCCTAATAGAAGGAGGAGATTATTCCCTGAAGAAGGATACTCTGGGTCCTCAGAAAGCTGGGGACAGGAGAGGAATAGACAGACTGTGTGAAGGAGAAAAGGTGCTCAATATCCCGGTTTACGCTTTTCCACTGCAATAATTTATTTATATTTTCATGACTTCAGTAAAATGTGAGCGCATTATATACTGTGTAAATGGAGTTGGGGGATGTTAACTTTGAAATCCTACATCCAAGGCCAGGTGCGGTGGCTCACGCCTATAATCCCAGCACTTTGGGAGGCCGAGGCGGGTGGATCATGAGGTCAAGAGATTGAGACCATCCTGGTCAACAAGGTGAAACCCCGTCTCTACTAAAAACACAAAAATTAGCTGGGCATGGTGGTGTGTGCCTGTAGTCCCAGCTACTCGGGAGGCTGAGGCAGGAGAATTGCCTGAACCCAGAAGGCAGAGGTTGCGGTGAGCCGAGATCGTGCCATTGCACTCCAGTCTGGGTAACAAGAGCGAAACTCTGTCTCAAAAAAAAAAAAAGAAAAAGAAATCCTACATCCAAGTTCACTGCAATTGAACTGGAGACAGATAGGCAAAGAGAAAAGACGATAAATGGAAGTGGTAACTCTAAGCGTTGGAACAAGAGATGCCAACAGAAGATGGAATGGATTTGTGGAATTTGTACCAAACACTTCCTAGAGGTGATTCTCAGTAAAAGGAGGCAAAGAGACAAGTGCACTAAGTTAGCAAACAAATTCCAACAAACGTGCACTGGGGGCCATATCCCAGGGACGCCGTAAAAGGAAAGGCCCAGGCTTGGCGAAGAAAGGGACTGGGCAGGGCAGGATCCCACTTTACCTTTCTCCTTCTCTTCCTGAAGACGTTTTGCCAAAAGCATGTAATTCAACTTCTGAAAAATATGAATGGTCTTCATTACTGCAGACACCACACCAGCATTTTGAATCATCAAGTTAGCTAGTTGTGGTCTATTTGCAGTATGTAGTTTGCCTGTGGCAATATTAAACTCATCTGGAAGAAAGAACTTAAACCTCTCCAGTTCTTCATCAGTGATGTTCTCCAGGCCCGTTAGCAGGAGTATCTCCTTATATTTACTCTCCATCTAAGAACTTCAGGATCCGCCTGTAAGGAGTCCAAATCATAGAAGATTACACCACCAAAAGTGATTCTATGTTCAGAATGAAGCAAGGTGAGCTGTTACTATATTTTAAAGAAAAATAAACAAATGTTTACAGTAGTAAGAGGTTTGAGTGGAACATAGGTAAGAACTTCTTAAGCAAGGTAGTCACTATTCCCCGGAAAGACATTTTCAGAAAGTATACAACACCTCTGGAATTCTTAGAAAACAGGAGATATCAGCTGGGCACAGTAGCTTATGCCTGTAATCCCAGAACTTTGAGAGGCTGAAGTGGGCGGATCACGTGAGGTCAGGAGTTTGAGACCAGCCTGGCCAATATGGCAAAATCCCATCTCTACTAAAAATATAAAAATTAGCCAGTCGTGGTGGTGGATGCCTGTAATCCCAACTACTCTGAAGGCTGAGGTAGGAGAATCACTTGAACCCAAGAGGCAGAGGTTGTTGTGAGCCAAGATTGCACCATTGCACTCCGGCCTGGGCAACAAGAGTGAAACTCCGTCTCAAAAAAACCAAAAACAACCACAAAAAAGAAAACAATACATTTTCCTGTTGTTTTAAAAACAGATTTATCGAGGCATAACTGACATACAACACAGTGCATATATTGGAAGTATACACTTTGATAAATTTCGGCATATACATTTACCTGATGAAGTAAAATTAACCAATTTTTTCTTTCATGGATTGTGCTTTCAGTGTCATATTTAAGAAATCTTTTCCATGTCAAGATTAGAAGATTTTACGTTCTCCTCTAAAAATTTTATGGCTTGATATTTTACATTTGGGTGTGTGCACTGTTTTGAGTTATTTTGTGTATGTAGTGAGGGATGATTCAAAGTTCATTTATTTTTCATATGAATATAAATTTTCCCAGAAGCGTATGTTAAAGAGACTGTTCTTTCTTTAAAGACTTTTTTTTTTGTATCTTTGTAAAAACCAGTTGTCCAAATATGAGTGGGTCTATTTCTGGATTCTTTCTTCTGTCCATTGATCTATTTTTATATCTTGTCCAGAATAACCTTGTAGTAATATGATTGTTTATGTATAGTAACCAAAATAATAAAATATTATAAACAACGATTCAACAATGTTTCTAACTAGAAGATTAATATGCAGAAATACATTCCTTTATTCTAGCACCACTCCAAGAGAGAAAAATATTACATAAAATAGTAATTTCCAATAGCAACAAAACTACAAAGCACATAGAACATCTAATACAATATATTTAAGAGTTTTAAAGGGAACCTTATAAAACTTTATCGAGAGATTTAAAAGACCCAGTCAAGTGGGTGTATGTGTGCTATTTTCAATGGGAAGAATTGATAGAATGAAGACAGCAATATTGTCAAATTAATCTGTAAACTCCCATGCAGAATCTCAAAGGGATTTTTATAGACATTATCGGGATGCTCACAAAACCTAAATGAAAAAAATAAAGACAAAAACATGCAAAATAAGTTAAATATTTCTTTAGGATATACTATCCCTACTACTAGATATTAATACTTACTACAAATGTATGATAATTAAATCAGTATGGTAGTGGCACAGAGAAAAGTCAACAAATTGAGTGTGGAAATAGAACTACATGTAAATTAAAACATGGTATATAATCAAAGTGTCATTAAAAATCACAAGGAAAGAATAGACAACTATAAAAAGCATTCAGGCAAATGACAATATATGGGGAATGATACACTGAGACTTTATCTTACATCATACACAAAATATATATCTGGCTGGATTAATTATCTATATAGACTAGTAATGGTATTGAATAAAACACAATTTCTCCATACATTGAAGCAGAAGAAGGTTTCTTTTATTTTTCTTTTTTTCTTATACTTTACGTGCGGGTTTGTTACATAGGTATAACACGTGCTGTGGTGGTTTGCTGTACCCCATCAACCCATCATCTTCATTAGGTATTTCTCCTAATGCTGTCACTCCCCTAGGCTCCCACCCCCTGACAGACCCCAGTGTGTGATGTTCCCCTCCCTGTGTCCCTGTGTTCTCATTGTTCAACTCCCACTGATGAGTGAGGACATGTGGTGTTTGGTTTTCTCTTCTTGTGTCAGTTTGCTGAGAATGATGGTTTCCAGCTCCATCCATGTCCCTGCAGTACATGAACTCATTCTTTTTTATGACTGCATAGTATTCCATGGTGTACATGTGCCGCATTTTCTTTATCCAGTCTATCATTGATGGGCGTTTGGGTTGGTTCCAAGTCTTTGCTATTGTGAATAGTGCTGCAGTAAATATACATGTGCATGTATCTTTATAGGAGAATGATTTATAATCCTTTGAGTATATACCCAGTAATGGAATTGCTGGGTCAAATGGTATTTCTGGTTCTGGATACTTGAGGAATCACCACACTGTGTTCCACATGGGTTGAATTAGTTTACATTCCCACCAAAAGTGTAAAAGCTTTCCTGTTTCTCCACATCCTCTCCAGCATCTGTTGTTTCCTGACTTTTTAATGATCACCATTCTAACTGGCATGAGCTGTTATCTCACTGTGGTTTTGATTTGTATTTCTCTAATGATCAAAGATGATGAGCTTTTTCTCATGTTTGTTAGCTGCATAAATGTCTTCTTTTGAGAAGTGTATGTTCATATCCTTCACTCACTTATTGATGGGGTTGTTCTTAAATAAGATATAAAAAGGACAATCCAGAAAAAAGAAAAAAAAACTTTGTCAAATTTGATTGCATGAATATTCTCGATTTCTTTTTCTTTTTCTTTCTTTCTATTTTTTTAAAACAGGGTTTCACCATGTTGGTCAGGCTGGTCTTGAATTCCCGACCTCAGGTGATTCGCCCACCTTGGCCTCCCAAGTGCTTGGATTACAGGCGTGAGCCACCACGCCTGGCCATTCTCAGTTTCTTTGTAGGAAACATACATATGTGTGCACACACATCCCCCACCCCCCCCCCACACAGACACATGCATACCCCAAACAAAATGGTGGAAGACATAAGCCAAGGAATAAAAGAAGGTGTTTCTGAGCTGAAAATAACTGATTGTGAATTTAGGGAAGCTGAATACTCTCATCAGTAGAGTCAACGTTAATAAATTCCAAACTATCACTGTTGATGGCCTTATAATTTTTTTTCCTATATGCTGGTATGGGCTGGAGAAACTCTACTTATACATGTAGAGTTCATGAGTAAAAATTAAAACTATTATCAGGACCATTTTCAAAATAAGGAATACATTTAAAAAATGTGTAATAATGATGTCATCCAAATGCCCTCACTCTACTGATGGAAGCAGGGAAGGGCACTACCTTTGCTGAATATCTAATGTGATGATCAACTTGGCATGATTCCTATTTTCCTGCTTGTCCATAAGAAGCTAACCTTCCTATAACCCTCTTATCTAATAACAATCACATTTTAATCACATTTTATGTAAGATTGACTCAGCTTTGTCTCTGAAGTTATATTGTCTTATAAATGTAAAACTTGCATTTTACTTCATAATATCTGTTAACTTAAAAAATGCTTATATTTGTTATAGGGTAAAATGTACTTATTTCCTTTTCAATTTTTATTTTAGGTTAGATGCTGGTTTCTTATATGGGTAAACTCATGTCACAGGGGTTTGGTGTACAGATTACTCATCCAGGTAAGAAGCATAGAACCCACTAGGTATTTTTGTCTAATCCTCTCCCTCCTCCCACCCTCTACTTCCAAGTGGGTGCCAGTGTGTGTTGTTCCCCTTATTGTCCGCGACTTCTCGTTATTTAGCTCCCACTGATTGAGAACAAAAGCGGTATTTGGTTTTCTGATCTTTGTTAGTTTGCTAAGGATAATGGTCTCCAGCTGTATCCATGTTGCTGCAAAGGACATGATCTTGTGTTTTTATGGCTGCACAGTATTCCAAGGTGTATGTGTGCCACATCTCCTTTATCTAGTCTACCGTTGATGGGTATTTAGGTTAATTTCATGTCTTTGCTATTGTAAAGACTGCTGCAATGAACATATGCATGTATGTGTCTTTATGGCAGAGTGATTTATATTTCTTTGGGTATGTATCCAATAATGAGATTGCTGGGTCAAATGGTAATTCTGTTTTTAGTTCTTTGAGGAATCACCACACTGCCTTCTATAATGTCTGCACTAATTTACACTCCCGCCAGCAGGGTATAAGTGTTCCGTTTTCACCTAACCTCGCTAGCTTCTGGTATTTTTAAATAATAGCCGTTTGACAGGCATGAGATGATATAATTTCTCACTGTGATTTTAATTTGCATTTCTCTAATGATTAGTGATGTTGAACATTTTTTCAAATGCTTGTTGGCTGCATGTATGTCTTCTTTTTAAAAGTGTCTGTTCATATTCTTTGCCCATTTTTTAATGGGGTTTTTTGCTTATAAATTTGTTTAACTTCCTTAAGATCCTGGAATTTTTTTTTTTTTTTTTTTTGAGACGGAGTTTCGCTCTTGTTACCCAGGCTGGAGTGCAATGGCGCAATCTCGGCTCACTGCAACCTCCGCCTCCTGGGTTCAGGCAATTCTCCTGCCTCAGCCTCCTGAGTAGCTGGGACTACAGGCATGCACCACCATGCCCAGCTAATTTTTTGTATTTTTAGTAGAGACAGGGTTTGACCATGTTGACCAGGATGGTCTTGATCTCTTGACCCCGTGATCCACCCACCTCGGCCTCCCAAAGTGCTGGGATTACAGGTGTGAGCCACCACGCCCAGCAAGATTCTGGATATTAGACTTATTAGACTTTTGTCAGAAGCATGGTTTGCAAATATTTTCTCTCATTCTGTAGGTGGTCTGTTAATAGTTATTACTCTGTTAATAGTTTTTAATATTTA